GAGTTTTCCGACGGTTTCAGATTTTGGTTAAAATACACGAACTTATCTTGCTCTTTGGACCACGTATAACTTCGTTACGAGATTCTGTTATTTTCAGTTTGTCCGATGCATTCAGGCAAAAAAACTTACCGACTTTCTATTCAGATTGTTTTGCTTGTCTAAGTTCTGATTTCCCTTGTTGATTGTGTTCATGCGTGAATTATCAGTTTGTCCGATGCATTCGGGCAAAAAACTTACCGACTTTCTATTCAGATTGTTTTGCTTGTCTAAGCTCTGATTCCCTTGTTGATTATGTTCATGCGTGAATTAGTACTATTGGGTTCAGTCCTCTCGGTGACTTCCGCACGGATGCTCCCTTATACTATCTGATTCTGTACTGCAATACGTCCGGTTTTTTACTTTTTAATTTGCACTTCCATTCTTTTTTAGGTGTGCTTTTGGGCATATTTTCTTGTCAGATTCTTTTCATTGCCTTGATTTTGATGGCGAAAGGGATTATTCTGCGCTGGAGTTCTTGCAGGAGCGATTAGTTTAGCTGTTTGACAGTGTCAAGATTACTCTTCTGAGTTCTAAAAAAAATTAAAGATTCTCTTGACAGTTGGAGAGGTATCGAAATCTTCCGAGCAAATAAGACAAATTAACCCGTATGCCACCTCGATTTGACAGATACCGAACCCCTGAACCTTTTCTCTTCAAAGTACCAGCATGAAACCCTTTGCTATTGATTTTTTGGGAAAAAGTTTGATCTTTGAATTGGCGAAACAGACACTACAGCTTATCTAATGGTGTAACTTGTTTCTCTTGTTGACCTGCTCATCTTTTGCATCGAGACATGAGGGCTTTGCTTTAATGTTCTTTTCCATACTATTTGAACTGAATTATGTTTAGCAACTCATCTGCTCAAAAATAATCATTATCCGATCTCTTACTCTTTTGTTTTCCCCTGTTTCAGGTTTGCTTCTGGCTTAGTAAGAGAACCATTTCACCTACGCTTCACCTCATATTTTCCATTCGAAAAGCCTTTGATGGGTTCCCCTTCAGAATCCGTAGCGGAGAAAAACCAGGGAAAGCCCCGGGGAATTGTACTGATTGAGAAATTAAAGAAAACCTCAGTTTCTTTCAACACCTATCAAGCCGTTGTCCTAATTGTAACATTCTTTGCTTACGCATCATTCCATGCTACTCGGAAAACTACCAGCATTGTCAAGAGCGCACTTGATCCTGAATCAGGAGCTAAAAGCACCAAATTATTGCTTCAGCTTGGAAATGGTTGGGCACCATTCAATGGTCCAGATGGCACATCATTGCTTGGTGAACTTGATGTTGCCTTTCTTTTTGTTTATGCCATAGGAATGTATTTCTCTGGCCACGTGGGTGATAGAATGGATCTTAGACTATTCCTAACTGCAGGAATGGTTGGAACTGGTGTATTCACAGCCCTTTTTGGGGTTGGGTATTGGGGGAATGTCCACATCTTTTACTACTTTTTGATAGTTCAGATGATGGCAGGATTGTTCCAATCTACTGGATGGCCATCAGTGGTGGCAGTTGTTGGGAATTGGTTTGGGAAGAAGAAGAGAGGGCTTATAATGGGCATTTGGAATGCTCACACTTCTGTGGGTAACATTACAGGGTCCTTGGTTGCTTCGGCTTTATTAAAGTATGGATGGGGATGGTCAACTGCTGTTCCTGGTCTGGGAATTGCCTTCATTGGCTTAATGGTATTCCTTTTCTTACCTGTTAGTCCGGAGTCTGTTGGGGCCAACAATGATGAAGAAGAAGAAGAATGCTCTCCCAAAAAAGATGGCGAGGAAATATCAGAACCTCTTCTCAGATCAGATAAGGAAGGGGTGGAGTCTGCAGTTGGGTTCATCGAAGCATGGAAAATTCCTGGTGTTGCACCTTTTGCTCTTTGCCTATTCTTCGCCAAGTTGGTGGCTTATACGTTTCTGTATTGGCTTCCTTTTTATATTAACCATACAGGTACCCATCATTCTTGGATTTTTTGATTGGCTTGTATATTTTCATTCCTCAATTCAGGCAGCAGACCTTAGTTGATTGCCTTTTTAGTTCCACAATTGTGCGGGTCACCTTTCAATACAAGCTGTTTGATACATTTTATTGACCTCTCTTTGTTTTTGGGCTGCAGCTATAGATGGAAGGTACTTGTCTGATGAAGAATCTGGAAACCTGTCGACATTGTTTGATGTTGGAGGGGTTGTTGGAGGAATTCTAGCTGGTCATATTTCCGATCATTTAAATGCTAGAGCTATAACAGCTGCGAGCTTTATGTACTGCGCTATTCCTGCTCTGTTCTTTTACAGAAGTTATGGAAACATCTCGATGACCATGAACATCATCCTCATGTTGATCACCGGCATGTTTGTCAATGGACCTTACGCTCTCATCACGACTGCTGTATCGGCTGACCTGGGAACACATAGCTCATTGAAAGGCAACGCCAGGGCTTTAGCAACTGTTACTGCAATAATAGATGGCACTGGCTCAATTGGAGCTGCCATCGGTCCACTGCTAACAGGGTACATTTCAGCTAAGAGCTGGAATGCAGTTTTCACAATGCTCATGGCAGCTGCTCTAGTTGCGGGTTTGCTTCTTACTAGGCTTGTTGTGTCCGAGGTGGCTACCAAGATTCAAGAGTCGAGGTCCTGTCCAGGGCCGCCTCCTGTTGAAGTGTGATTGTTCTTGGGGAGGTAACATAGATAATGGTGCTTGTGTATATTCTTGCTTTAGCTCTAATCCTCGGATGATACACATGAAGAGGTAAAGAATCTTCTGGTGTCAAAAACCAAGACAGGAGAGGGTGTTTTATGTCCTCCTTCCAGGTTGAAACAACTTACTAATCGGTTCTCAGAAATTTTGCAAACCAGGCGAATATGCGACAGTATCTAAATTGTGTGTGTCCTCGGAAGGTTCTCAAAAATTGTCAAAAATTGTTCTGATGTCTGGGTTTGCCCTTTGAAAAGAACAGATGGGTATGATGTTAGCAACTTGAGGCTGTGTATCTTGATACTTATTTTTCATGTATATAAGGCGTGGATAGAAAGCAGAAAGCCTGCAATGTATGACTGCTCAGTGTAACAACATATCAGGTTACATTCAGGCATTTGTTGATTTTGATTGAACATTTATTGTCAATGGCTGCTTATCTGGGGTTAAAAACATCTCTCCAATGACGAATGAAATCTGCATATGTTTTTAGATGGGTTATTAGAAGTTTCCTGTATCATCAACATGGTTTCAATCGTTTTCAATTGATGCTTGTTTAGCAATTTTGTTACAGAATGAATGCGCCAATTGACTATGCTAATCGCTAATTGGTAAGTGCCAATTAGTAGTCAAGAGATCTCTACTACGACTTGGAACTCGGCCTTCTTTCCTCCATTTTGGGATTTCTAATTGATTCACTCCGCCACCTTTGCAAATTACTGCGGTCATTAGTGAGTCACCCTTATGTCTTCGGACTTTCTTTCTCAGTTCTTCTGTAAGTGGAAGTTTCCGGTTCCAAACCACCGCTCCACTGTTTCTTTGTGTTCTTTCTTTTCCAGAGGGAGACGAGGGGAGTTGGAGGCGGGCATTACTGCTGATGGTACTTGGTCCAATTGCAACGGACAAGATAATGAACGTGTTTGGATAGGAGATTAGTTGAAATAATTTTTTAAAAAAATACTGTAACATTTTTTTGATATGATGTATGCGAAACAAAAACATAATTGGAAAATGTATTTGCGATGCAAATAAATAAATTTGTAAAAATAAAAAAGAAAAATTTATTCAAAATGTTCCCCATATTTTGCTAAAAGAAGTTTTTCTTATTCTTTTTTTCATTTTTAAAGTAGTAATTTATGTTCCTTACAAAATCAACACGATAAAATTTAGTCACAATCTAGATTTTGACCAATTTTTACACTAAATTCATCACGTAATCTACACATGGTCATTTAAAAAAGATTTGAGTTTTATTTATGGTTAAACAAATGACCCGATCCATAATTATTTTCACCCCTAAAAAAGTAGGATCTAACTTGAATTTTATTCATTTTTCTCCTAAAAAGTGGAATCTGATCTAATTCATATTCATCTTTTGCCTCTAAAAAAAGTAAATTTTAATTTTTTTTCTACATAAAAGTGATTGCATGTGGATCATATGGGTGATTTCAAATTAAAAAGTGATTAAAAATTTAGATTGGGACAAAATTTTGCTTACTTAAATTTGTGAGAAACATAAAATTAATATTCTAAAGATGAAAGATAAAAAAAAAAAAAAAAATCATTCGACGAAATGTACAAAACTTTTTAAATGATTTTCCCAATAATAAAATATCCAATTATTATCAAATGTACTGCTAGAACTTACATGCAGGGGTTCTGGAATCTGCACCGTGTTAAGAAACTTCAAAGTCCTAGTGATCATAACAAATGGATGGCTCCGAAGAAAAACGTTCTGAAAATAAACGTAGACGGAGCTTTCTCAGATGAAGGGGCTGGAATTGGATTAGTGTTAAGGAACCACCTAGGCCAAATTGAAGCAGCAATGTCGGAAAGAATTTCAGGAGCTTATAGCGCAGATCATGTGGAGGCCTTGGCTTTTCTCAATGCCCTGCAGTTAGCCAAAGACTATGGAATTACAGTCTTCCTGGTTCCTACTTGAAGGGGATGCACTGAATATCGTGCAGAGAATCAAAAGTAGTGAACCTGATTTGTCCTTAATTGGCAATTTGATTCATGTTATTAGGTTCATGATGGCTGACTTTCATGATGGCAGAGAAGGACTAGGAAATGTTCCTGCTCATATTTTAGCTAAGATGTGACTTTTCATATAACTTTTTATTTACGTGGTAAAATTGATTCTTGTATAATTGTATTGAACGCCATGACAAGATAGGGCAGAAATGAATATTGCTATTTAATCTTGAGAAATGAGTCTTTGCAACAGATTTCAATCATGTTTTTACCATATGGTACCTGAAAAGACATTCTCAGAGAGCGATTTTCTTTCATAAATCAATTTTTTTTCTGTGACAAGCATATGGCAACATGGTTATCCTTAACAGATTAACTAAGCTAGACATGCAAGGCTTTCATTTCATGGTGCGTAATCTGAAGGGGAGTAAAAGATGTTACTACAGACAAGGAACCAGGAAGTATATGGAAAGACTATAAAACAACTAAATCAGAATTTTCAGTAATCGAGTATCTGACCAAAACGGCAGCAATCACCTCACAAGATTTAACCACTTATTCAGCAAATATTTAACTCCCCATCTCCCCACCAGAAAAAAGTGAAATAATGACCAAACTATGAGATATCCTGTTCCAGCACTGCACTTTCTTGTATCAGTCAAAATGAAACCAACTAATCGACCTGCCAAATTCAACATCAAGAGCCCTTATAAGACTGAAAGATAGGAAAAATTACACCTCATCAATAGCATAAACACCAAGCAAGTACAACAGCAAGTATTTCTAAGCATGCAAACAAAGCTAACCACTAAAACCTAAATAAGGCCAGTTGGGATCCTCTATGCCACTACTCGGTGCCAAATTCAGTGCTAATCCCACTTATCACGTGATGGTAGAAGAAATTTAAATAAATAGCATATGACAAATTAAATAAACAGGACACTTGGCATAAATATAGAAGTGGCAATGAATTGCCACCGGAAAAATGGCACTGAGGATCTCGTGTGAAATAAGGCGATTCTATATCTATCATACAGCACAATGGGTTCCAATCAAAGTCCTGTATCCAACTTCACTGGTACAGAATGTCATTCCAGAGCTAGGTAGAATCACTTGACAAGATCACTCCTATCACCATATTACAGAGAAAAGAAACTTGAACATTGATCGAGAGAGAAATGCTATACTCACTAAGCAATTAACATCAAGCATACAATTCTCCACCAAACCATCCGAAGGACAAATCCTCATCCAATACTAACTAGATATACCGTCATTGTAGTATCAAACTGAAGGTTTGTTATATGTTCTATTGGAGTATATCATTCAATGGCATGGAGATGGCAAAGTCACTAGGATTATACCCCCCCAAAAAAAAAAACTTGCAGCTAGTGTTTCACAATTTAATAGAGAATTGAGGAGATTTGTAGCATTAGCACGTTATCCTCCATTTCATATGAGATTCTCTCTACCAACACAATAGAATTTTTATCTCAATTTTTGTTATTTTTGGAAATAAAGCACCAGAAAAGGAATGGAGCACAGGTCCCCTAGTGGAACTCAAATGCGAAATGCAATTGAACACAAGTCAACAGCATGATAGCAAATGCAGCGTTTTGGATAAAACGATATATGTACCTACAAGGATGTGCTTTAACTGCTAAATCCATAGAAAGGTCCAACTCCAACCCCTGAACTATTCTTTAAACAGTGGTGCATTCTAACGGAATAAGAATTTACAGTAGAAAGCATGATCATCATCATGCACCATAGAAATATAAGGAGTATCTAGTTCAGGTTCACCTCCATAAATCTGTCAAGAATCTAGCAAAATTGCATAACCCTCTGACAGGTTCTTGTGCATATATTGCAGTAATTTCAAATGACGAACTCTCATCCAGTGACACCAATAAATCAGATAGAAAAAGAAATGAGGCCCCTCGCCCCAATCAGATTCATACGGTGATGACCTCCATCACGTGTGGAACAGCAATATGAAAGTGAAAATCAAACACATATAATAATACACGCATGCAGTATTACTAGGCCGAAACAGACATATTAAATTTTTAAAAAAATAAATATACAATCAAATTATTCGGATGCGAAATCACTGTAGACATCTCCGGTGACTTTAACGACTGAATTAGAAACTGTATAGCTCATAACATAAACGAAAAGGAAAAATAAATGGTTGGCGTGAGGAAGAAACGCACCGGATCATAATTGAAGAAAAGAAAAGCAATTGAACTAAACGCCGTCGCCGGGCTTCTTGGGCTTGCGATACTTTTCTTCGACTTCTTTGGCCCGAAAGAGGAATTCGTTGGTAAGATTCCTAATATTTGGGACGTTATAGTTCTGGGCTATGTATATTCCGCAAACTGCACCCGCTATCAAGGAGAAGCTGCTCCTGATTATCCCCATCAACCCGTCCTCCCAAGCCCCAACACCCCCCGCCCCTTTCTGTCTCTTTTCCAAACGCTGCAAAAATTCACATTTAGGGCTTTCTATGGATTCACTATTATTATGGTCGACTTGCACACCACAACAGTCGATTGCCCACGACGGCCGGCCGCAGTAGCGAGTCGACGACGAAGCACGTCAGCTGCCACCGATTCTGACTACTAAGCACACTCCTTTTTCTTAGTTGTGGGCCGAGCACTGGTACTTCTCGCTCTTAATTTTCGGTTTTCTTGGGCCGGACTGTCCGGGTCCAGTATATTACGTTTAGCCCGAGGTAATACGTTTCTTTTCATTCTTTTATTTTTTAAACCACCTTTCCATTTAATTAGTGGTCATTGGCCTTGGTCCAAGAAGGTGAATTTTGGGCAAAGGTTTGATTGGGGATAGAATTTTCATGCATTATTTACTTGGGAGGCGACCAATGAAAGAAAACGCTACATCTCAGGTCAACACCTTCTACGTTTGTCGGTGTGGACAGACAGGCATTTAAGGATTAAATAAAAGTTCAGGACAGATTTTAATTACCTGGGATGAGCTACAGCAAAATTCAAGTACTTTAGATTTTTGTAAGAATTTAATTTTATGTGCGTTGTCGTTTAAAGAATTTATTTCAGTGCAACAATTCTTTGATACAACTAAGTTAATCACGCTTCCCATCAATGTGCCTTTATATGAGATTTGTTCTAAATCCATACAGGTGCGTGGCGCACCCATCTGGTCACCGACTCTCCAAACAGGAATAAGAGTATGTTAAATTAAATTAAATGTGTTGTTATATAAAAAAAATAAATAAATTACTTTATAAGAGTTTCCTATGGAAATCATTTGATTCCAAATAACTCCGTGCTTACAAAATTCGAAACTAGTAATGTATACATGACGTAACTAATCATTCTTGGTGTAAAATACAAGAAAGAACAAATTCATAATTTTTTTTGTTTTTCTAGAATATATATATATATATATATATATATGTGCGTGCCACTGACGATGGTGACAATTAACCCAACTCATGATTAAAGTTTATCAAACACTACTCGCGCACACATTCTTCGCACACATTAAAAGAAAAAGAAACAACAAAATGAGTAAAAATTAAAAAAAAATGCACTGGGCTCCCAAATGATTAAACGTGCTCTTATCTCTTTTTTTTTAAGAAATACTTTCAACGATAGATTCTATGGGCCTGTTTGGAACCTAAGTTTTTTGGGAGTTTGTCTAAAACTTTACTGTAGTGTACTGTAGAAATTTTTGAAAAAATTTTATAGAAGTTTTTATAAGGTGAAAATTTTTTTTCCTTTTCTTTTTTTTTCTTTTTTTTTTCTCTTTCCCTTTCTTTTTCTTTTTCTTTCTTTCCTTTTTCTTTTCTTTCCTCTCTTTTTCTTCTTCTTCTTTCTTCTTCTTCCCCATTACCTCCGCACCCCCAGCAGCAACTCCACCTCCCCGCTGCCCCGCCTTCCCCCTCCCCCCATCACCCCCCTCTGCACCGCCTTCCCCCTCTCCTCCGCCGCCCCCATCTGCGCCTCCCCTCTCTGCCCCTTCCCCCTCCTCCCGCCTTTCCTCTCTCCCCCGCCGTCCCCCTCTGCGCTGTCTCCTCTGTCCCTTCCCCCTCCCCCTGCTGCCCCTTCCCCCCTCTGCCTTCCTCGCCGCTCCCCTCTGCGCCGGACGTAGAGAGAAAAAAGAGACAAGAGAGGATGATGGCAGGGGAGGAAGAGGGGGAGAGGGAAAAAAAGGGGAAAAAAAAATTCTTGTCCGGCACCGGCACCGGAAATTGGTGACGAAGCCGGCAATGGAGGTAGTGGTGGGGGAGAAAGAAGAAGAAAAGGGGAAGGGAATTTTTTTTTTTTTTTTGTGTTTTGGATATTTTAAGTGTATAGGTTAAAAACTTTTGATAAGTTTTTTGGGGTTCCTGTAGTAAAAGTTGTTAAAAAACTAGTTTTATACAAACTTGGTAAAAAACCAAGCTTCCAAACAGGACCTATATTATGCCAATTGCAACAAAAAGTTTATAGAACTTTTTTTTTTTTTTTTGATGTGGATGGCATATTTACATGTGTCTAAACTCCTTCATATATACGTATTTCTTGCAGTATTATTGTTGTCAGTTATAATTCCTTTAATAACATATTTACGGATTGCTTTTCCATTTTAAAAAGCTGCCAAAAGATCATCCTTATAATAATAAAAAGACAAAAGGGAATAATAAAAAAGAAAAAAAAATCAAAGATCATGTCAGATCAAAATTTTTGCGCAATGATTGATTAGCATGTTGCCCCTAAACTTATTGTAGACTTCTGACTTATCCCCAAAACTATCAATTGTAACACCTCTATACTTTGCAATATTTATGGCTAATTATGATGATCCAATGGTTTTCTAGACTATTGTTTTGCAAGAAAAATGCGCTAATGAACCTAAAAATACGTGTTCTTCTAAGCATTCCAATAGAACTTCAAAATTTTACTTGCAACCCCATTAATGTTGCAAAATATAACTATATTGTAAAATCAATAGTAAATGGAAGAAGTTAATCCTATAACCTGCACAAACACATAGTTCATACTATCAAAAGTTCTTCTGTCCCTTTTTTTTTTCATAATCAAAAGTTCTTTTGTTTTGAATGCAAGCATTGATGACAAACAATAAAAAATGAGAGTTGAAAAGAAGAGGCATGAAAAAAGGTAGAATGACAGTAGTAATATAGCAAGAGAACGCGTATGGATAATATTGATCAATTCAATAAATTAAAATACTTATCTCTATATAATTTCCTAGAACACTTTGAGTTGATCCGGGCGACGTATAATGAATATAAAAAAAATATATATATATATATGTATATATATCATGAAATGATTAAAATTGATAGTGTAGGAGGCAAAGTGCAAATTGACCATAGTTCATTGGGCACTTTGCAATTAACCCGAATCAGAGGTTAGGCGGAAACGAACCTTCCTTGAATATTATAATCGCGGATTCCACAGCAGGTCCTTTCAAGAAAAGGACAAAATACTGGTATATGGAATATAGTAGTATGACAAAGGAGATAATAAAATAATTCTGACAATCTTGTGCGGCTAGGGGTGCACTCCTACATATATGTCACTCACGCTATAAATCTAATTAGAATTTCAAAAAATTGGTATTTTTTAAAACCAAATAATAATAATAAAGAAAGAAGAAAGAAAAGGCAAAAAAGACTTGCACTTTTTTTTTTTTTTTTGGTTGGGAACCTTTTCACCTATTAAAAATAATATTAACAGTACTAGTACAAGTTAGGATTTGTACTTTGTTCAATGTTTATATGATTAGGCTTGGCTTTCCCGCAAAAACTGTCTCTTTACCTCTCTCTCCGTCCTCCTCTTGAGAGGTGAAGATCGCCGAAGATTTTCATCTGCATTTGCCGACGTCCTTTTATTCGTCTTTCATCTGAAGATCGGCCCAGGTTTAGGATTCACCCGGCATTTATGTACCATTTTCATGTTCTCGATTTTGTTCCGGATTATATATGATTCAGGTTTTGTCTATATTTATCTGTGTCCACGCATACCGATTGGATTCGTCAATCCGTGTTTTTATTCTTGAATTTGGTTAATTAGGAACGAGACTAAGGAAATTTGTGTCAATCCTTAAGTTTTCCTAGAACCCCTAGTAATATTACCTTCATCAACCCTGCTTCTAGGGTTCGCATTTTTGTCTAAGTATGTTTCTTTTTTCCCCCTTTACCTATTGAAACTAGATACTATAATTAGATTAGAAATTCCCTAAAAGCCAATTCATTTCATTCGCCACTTTCTCGTTGATTTTGCCTTGATATTTATTTGGATTGTCTCAAGTACTGGTTTTTTTTTTTTTGCGTGTACGTCTCATTCTGGAGAGTTAAATCGGAGTTGACTTGTATTCTAAACTTAACTATCTTTTACCTTTGGACAATTTCAGTAATTTGGCATTAAGGGAATAGGGTCTTATCTATAATAAAGGGCATTTAATTTTCAGTGGCTTAAAAAGGATAGTAAATGGTGATGCTGATTACTGAAATGATAGAAGATTTAGTGCTGCATAGTTCCCACTGTTTCACCAAATATGTGTTGCTGGAGACTTTTTTAGGATAGAGAATGTATAACTTGGGTGAAATAGCAAACGACACATGAATAATACCAGATGACTCTTAATGTCCAACATAGGTTCAAGAGGTAGCAGATCATCTTCTTGCAGGTGTATACTTTAAATATAAATTTTTGTTTAGTATGTGTCTATTTCATAGTTTGGATTCTCGATCCTTTCTTAGATCGTGCCCCAAATTTGGTTTTGGCCCCTTTGTACCGGTTTTTAGATTTCTTTATTTTTCTATTCTGCATTTAATGGAGGTTCCGTTCTTGCAGTTTGGCTATTCTCATCTTTTGGTAGATGGCACATCACTGAAGTTTTGCTGTTCTCCCTCCCTCTCAATCTTGTGATACGGTCAGTTTTGGGAGCAAAGGATCATGCTAACTGCGTTCTCATGAAAATCTTGAACTTCAGCTGTGGTGTGGAGTCCTTGTGTATTTGCCATGGGTGTGAGCTACTTATCTGTCTCAGTGGTCTGCACAGTTTTGAGCTTTGTCGGACTTCGGTGTTGGACAGCAATATCCCTTGAGCAACTAAAATCTGATGGGTTGATTAGTGATAGTGTTATTAGCTCAGGGGACGGGAGCCATGCATTGGAGCTGCTTTTGAGTTCCTATGCTACAATTGCTTTGGCTGCAAATTTTGCACTTAACACATTTATCCTTCTAATTTTGTGTCTCAAGGTGATTTTTCTCTTGCACATTTTAACTTAGTTGCAACTCTCTTGAGCAAAATCCTAATTGTCTGGTGAGTTTAGGGCATGCTTGTAATTGGGATTAGGCTCTGATTGACCTTTCAGGTTGTGGGGTGTTTTACTGCAAGATCCAAGCCTTTTTTCTTGATACAGCTTTATATTTGGCTGCTCTGATACATTGTTGTGGTGGTTGATATGTGTTCTTACCTTTGTTTTTGTGCAGACTATATTCTTTTCAGAGTTGTACTCATCTGAAGCTCGAAAATTAGTTGAACGCCTTATTAATTATGTTATATACAAGGTAAGACTTTCTAGCCGTCGTAATTTCATTCTAAAATCTTTTGTCTCCTGTCTATAAATCATTATATAGTTCAATTGAGTGCTTTATTTCTAAGTCTAGTTGAACTTTCT